CCGGAGCTGGGGGCGCAGATCCCTGGGCGCCGGGGCCCCGATTTCCCGTGAGGGCTTGTCTTGAATTATTTTGTTAACTATCTATGGTGAGAGAGGTAGGCGATTATGTATAGCTGTATACAGGTCTATAGCTGTATACAGGTCTATAGCTGTCAGTTATGCGGGCCTTATCAGCTTTGTTTAGATCTGTATACAGCTATAGACCCGAAAAAGTTCCCGAGACTCAGGTGCCCCCGTTACTACTACTTTGTAGCAGGCTCACATAACTGATAGGGTGAACATAATGAAAGTCGATACAATTCTAAAAATATAGCTTTATTTGAATAACTTATGATTAGATAATACATTTAAAATATAATTATATAATTTATAGACATTAACAATACTACATGAACACCATTTCAGTTTATGATGCATACATTCAACTAAATTTTGATGTAAATTGGGTATTGTACCTTCTGAATGTGTATGCTCCAAATTGACAATATTCGGGGGTGTTTGATTTATGTTAGAATACAATTGAAGTAAAAAGTCTTTTTTAATATGTCCTTTAACAAAAATAGTATCAATATCCTTGAGTTCCACTAGAAGTATCTGATTGAGGTTATTATATTCCACATTACCAGAATTGTAATGAATCCCATGGATGTTGTAAAACACATACTTGGCAGTCTTCTTATACGATTCTGATAAAGATCTATATGGTGTATTTGGTTTAAATAACCAGGACTTCACTATTTTCCCATCATATATTGCTAATTCTTTAACTTCAAATTTAGGTGTGAAATATCCTTGACAATCTAGCACTAGGAACTTCATTTTGCTGCAGTCAAACGATGAATGCTTAAATAAGGTTTCTTACATCGCCAGATAAAGGCAGATATTCTAGAACACGATCATGCACGATGATGCAATAGGCTCGCGTGTTATTAGAAAAATTCTCCGAGCTTTGAAACTCTAATTTCACATCAACAGTATTGCTCTTTATTGATTCATTTTGTTTAGAACAATCAATAACAAAGAGTGTTCTATTTAAAAAATTCTTAAAGTCCATCAACGGCTCACTACGAACTTTCCCCAAATAATTCATTTGGAAATCAGTATACATTCTATAAGCTTCAGCAACTTGTTTGTTAGTAAAATTAAGATTTAACGATTCGTACGGATACACCTCTGAATTGAGGTACAGTTTAATATCAGTAATATTCAAATTATCAAAATAGGTACAGTCTTTTTGTGGATTATCTTTACGATCTGTTTGGAAAAATACTATTACATATCGGGCTCTTTCAGACATAGATTTCACAGTCCAAATATCTATTTTCGTGGTTCTTAGAGCTGGTAATTCGTGAATTTCCCAATTTCTGAATGCTATGAAAATAGGCTTATTTTTAGCAATTTCCTCAAAAACATTCAGTTTTATCATATCATTGAGGTACACATGCTTAACTTTTAGTTCTATTGAAGAAATTGTAATTGATGCCTTCTTGTTACCTACTTCGTTCACGTAACAATTTTCATCATTTCTTGCACGCACTAGTTTAATTTTCTGCTTTCCCATGATAACATTCTTGTAGTCAGCAAATACACCAAAAAAGTAATGTAAAGGTATCAGTAAATTAAAATTACCGTCTTCACCAGTGGTTTTAACAAATGACGGTAGCGGTTCAGAGAGCCAATTCCATCCTGCAGTATTGAGCGTTTTGCTCTCATATTCATTTAAGGTCAGAAGATTCTTAACTGTACTGGTGAGACCAGGATCGCGAACTTTTTCAATTTCCCTCCAATTCATATCCTACTGATTCAAATAGGAAAGCGCCTACATTATTACTCAAAGTGCATTTTCCTGTTTTACCTACAGTTGTTTCATGACTTAATGTTGCCTCTATGTAAAGTTCAGCTTGAGATATATCCATGAAAACATCTTGTTGGTTAATAACAATTTCAATTTCGTCATTATAATTGAATGATTTAGTGAATGGGTGATAAGTGTGCCATTCTTCTCGGGCAATTGATTCATCTGCGACAACCGACTGAAATATTTGTAGTTTTTCCGACACGATAACCATATTTATATGCCAAAGAAGTAAGCTGCAGAAAATTTCGCTGAGTGAGCGTCTGTGTCAATGTTTTTTTCTTAACTGATTTAAGTGTATGATTGGGATCATATATATACCCTTTCCGATCATGTTGTTGTTGTTGTTCCTGCAGCCTATAAGGTGTATAATAATTAAAAAGTAAACCCATTTCTTCTCAGTTCTAATCTAACTATAATTTCTTCTCCCCTGAAATTTACCGGTCTTGCTTCTTGATCCAATATATTTATCGTGATATTATCAATATTTTTTCGGTTCACAGGTAAATAAATAAGATTACGAGGCTCCACAATAATACTATATCCTGGATCGACTATTGGCGAAAACTCAAATAATGTGTGTGATGGTGTATTTCCGTAATAGGTACCCGACACAATATTGCACTCAATTCGTATAGTGAGCACTTTAATAATGTTTACAGGTAGACTGGATGAGTGTAGTTTGTTAGCCTTAAGAACATCCGCGGGAAATCCTAATAAATGCCTAATGCTATCTTCAGGAGTAAAATTAATATCGTAGATGCTCTTTATTTCGCACTTCAATGTATTGTTATTTGGTTTTAAAGTGAAAACTGTAGTCTGCTTCCCTATTTTCTCACTCAGGCGTTTTTGAATATATTCTTCTATATCGGCTATCTCGTAAGATCCTGTAGGTATTTCTATCTCGTGCTTTTCTTTACCAGCCTGTGTATCGGTAAAGTAAAACTTATTACTACCAGGTTCAATGTTCGGAATGGAATTCCATGTACTCAATGAAATTAAAGCAAGGGAATAGCTGAATCTAGGGTCAAGCTCTATGGCAGGATTAATATCTACACTCAAACAACTAGATCGACCCTTCAAGGTGAAAGTTTGAGACATGACTGCGAATTAAAACGATTATTTTATTTATATTGATTTTTATTATACAAAAAATTTAACACAAGGTGTCCACAGTTATGCGTATTATAGTTTTGATATTGATCATAATTAAATAAAATTTTGCAATTTTTAAAATATTTCACCAACTCCAATGGTGGATTCAGATTGCCAAAACTATCGAAATAAACAACATTTCTTCCCCTTTTCTTGTAAGCTACCCAATGCGTTCCAGGCCCCACATTTAAATCCAAATTAATTATAGCGCTTTCATTTTTATAAGGTAAAATTGGTAATGTATCTCGCATAAATACGCCTCTAAAGTGAGGTATTTTCAAGCGCTTAACATATGTTTCAATATCCATATTTGTTAATGGTCGATTGGGTAGCTTTATTGGAAGTTTTTTGACATCTTCTTCAAGTACAAACCATATCCTCTCTTATGTTTAGCTAGATATAATCCCCCTCCTTTCTTTCCCAAGGCGATAGATTCCATAGTTTCGTTATGTCGCGTAGCTTCTGCAAGCCTGTCTTTTGCAGCGCGTGCATCGTTTACAGCCTTCGCAATACCCGCAGCCCCACCACTAAGCGCTCCCAGAGCACTTAGACCAGCGAATATTGGGATAAGTGGAAGGAACCCCCCAACTTTGGGCACTGGAATAACTCTAGGAAGTTTAATTTTCTTTCTACCACCAGCATTTTTTATGGCTTGTCGTGCAACCTTCACTGCTAGCTTCACATTATCTTTAAGGGAATTTCCGCTGAAGGGTCTTAAATGTTTTTTAACATCATTTATAATAGATGCATTAAACGGTTTTGATCTACTGGAGCGTTTGCGTTTACGAATTTTCCTCCTCCGTTTTTTATTGCTCGCAACCTTTTTTATGATATTTCCCATTCCAAGCTTACGTTTAGCTTTCATTGCATTAGTTACAAACCAGGCTGCAGTTTTCTCACCAAAACTTGAATCTTTCGACTTAACTCGCTCCCAAGCTCTATTTTCCAAAACTTTATCGGCTTGATGTCTTTTTTGTGAATCACTGAAATTCGAATATTCGATATCGTGATCTTTGCAATAGCTATCTAATTTGTTTTTTGGTGGATCACCACGCGCCAATCGCTGTTTCAGTTTTGTACCAGGACCACAATAAGAGTAGCCAGGTAAATGAAGTTCAATTGGAAGTTTGTTAATGGCGCTATTTAAGAGACCTTCACCCTTGGAACTACTCATTACTAATGAAGTGTAGTTTGAGTAGCCATATCTTAAATAGCATGCGGGCAGAAAAGCAATCACTCAGCATAAATGTTTCTAATTTCGATTTAAATAAACCAAAAAATCGGAAACGGCGGCACAGCGCACTTCTACCAAATACTGTTAGAGCGATAATATGTGGTCCGAGTAATTGTGGAAAAAGTAACCTTATGTTGAGCTTGCTTATCGATGCAAATGGATTGAAATTTAAAAATGTGTATGTGTACTCCAAATCACTCTATCAGGAGAAGTATATGTTTCTAGAAAAAGTGATAAGTCGAGTAACGGGAGTCAAATTTCATAAATACAGTGATAATGATGAAGTTATCGATCCTAAAAATGCTCAACCTAATTCCATATTTATATTTGATGATGTAGCTTGTGAAAAGCAGGAAAAGATAAGAAATTACTATTGTATGGGTAGACATAATGATGTGGACTCCTTCTATCTCTGTCAAACCTATTCGAAAATACCGAAGCAATTGATTCGTGATAATGCAAACATGATTATAGTGTTTAAGCAGGATGATATGAACCTGAAGCATGTTTATAGTGATCATGTAAATACGGATATGCCTCTAGAAACATTTAAAACAATTTGTTCTGAATGTTGGAAAACTAAATATGGTTTTTTAGTAATTGTAAAAGACGATGATATAAATAAGGGAAGATATAGGAGTAAATTTGATGTCTATATAACCCCGTAACTGACCGCAGTTTCAAACAGTACAAAATAGGTTAGCCACCTGTTCAGTCCTGATAATTTGATTGGATACGTATATATTTTGTCTAAATATGCCTCCTGAAACTCTAAGTAAATTCGATAAGCGAATAAAACGTAAAATTATTGCTGCTGCTGATAACATTAAAAGAAAATACACATCATTAAAATTGGAAAGGAACGAAGAAGATGACGCAATAACTAAATTTTTCAATCCCATCAAAGAGCCGCTAATCAAGTTAGCTGAAAAAACAAACAATACAAACGTGAATATTAAAACAGAAAAATATGCTTTTAAGAATGAAGGGTTAAAAAATGAGGAGGAGGAGGAAGAAGATCAAGAAGGTATTGATTTCAAACCTAAAAAAATTAGAAAAATCTCGAAATATGCATCCACTTCAAGGCCAAAAGAAGAAGTTTTTGAGGTTAATGAGGATAGTGATGAATATGATAGTGTATTTAAATCAGCACAAGAAACGGAAAGAGATCTTGAACTTGAAAAATCTATTGTAGATCGTTCACAAAGTTATAGGAATTATTTGGAGCAATACCCCAAAATAGCGCAGGATTATGTAGATATGCACTACAATAATTCAAACAAAATAGATCATTATTATATTAAACACAATAAGAACAATGATCTATGGACTATAGGATCAAAAAAAGTCGATTTTCTCTCAAATGGTGATATCAAAGTGGGTGATACGGTTTATGAGGGGACGCCTGGATTATATGATCTACTATTTTTAAAAAATCCTCGCGGTCAAACCAAAACCGATGAGTTGCAGCTCCAAGATATTTTAAATAAAACTAATGCTCATAGAAGGGATTTTAATCCGGCTGCACAAATCAAAGGATCCTCCTCTTCAAAATACAAAAACGTTACAAAACCTTTGGCTTCAGCAAAGGCTGAAGCAGCTAAGCTCAATTCCAGCAGAAATATCTCCGGATCCTCTCCGAGTACACGATCAAAAGGTAAATCTGGAAGCGCTTTAATGGAGTATAATGAAAATCCTAAGCAATATATCTACTATGATGACGTCAACGAACTAGTGGATAGATTGATAAAACTAGATGCATCCCAAGTAGCTGGTAATGTGAATCACACAAATGAAATAATGAGTATTTTGGAAGAGCTTCGCGAGTTGGGAGTGATTATATTTTAAATAAAAAAATCTATACTCTTCATGTTTCCCCCATTTTTATGTAAACCATGGACAAGTTCGGTCGGGCTCTGTCCGCCAGTGATGGTAGAAAACGAAAACCTATTATTCATAATGAGTGGGATTCACCACTACCCCGCATGAACAATGGCGACTTTGATATGGAAAACCATAGGTTGTATAACCTCAAAGAACCGATGAACAAAAATGATGCTGCCACCAAAGAATATATAGATAATCAATTGAATGTACATGTCAAAGCTCTTGATGACAATATAAATAAATTAAATAAGAAAGTGGATGATAACCTAATCGAAAATGTAAATGCCAAGGCTCTTGATGATAATATAAATAAATTAAATAAGAAAGTGGAGGATAACCTAATCGAAATTGGTAACTTGAGATCTAAGAGTGTATCAATGGGGAATAATATTGATTTTACAATAAATCAAAGAATGCAAGATTTAGCTACAAAGAATAGGGAATGTATTGGCAGAATATTTGATTTAGAGCAGCAGCATAAACAGTTTAATATAACGCCTACATATATAAGTATTGCTGACAAGAGAATAGTTAGAGCTGCCAAGGCTATAAATGACGGCGATCTAGTTCCTAAAGGACAGATGATTCAAATAATTGATGAAAAAGTAAAAGAATTTTTCCAAAAAAATAACGGTGTTCAAAAAGTTAAATAAATATACAAAATTCATAGAATTTGCATCATTTTATCCTAGTTACCCATGTAGTTAACAATGAAAGTAAAAAAAATTGATAAAGCCTCTATGGTTACCCCAGCTAGAGAACAAGTAGTTAGAGAATTACACAGACCTGCACATAAAAAATTTATTCGGAGAAGATTCATACAGTATGGCTTAGATGATACTTTCGCTACGGACTTAGCTCAACTTGATCAATATTCCAGGGAAAATAGAGGTTTCAAGTACATAGTCGTAGTTATTGACTGTTTTTCTAAATATCTCTGGACTAGGGCTGTAAAATCGAAATCTGCACAAGATGTTGCTAAAGCTTTCGGGAGTATATTGAAAGATTCAGGTAGAATTCCCAAAAAACTTGTTTCCGACAATGGAAAAGAATATTATAACACACAATTTTCGAGTCTAATGAAAAAATATGGTATACACCATTATAGCACGTTCAGTCCTTTGAAGGCGTCAATAGCAGAACGGGTAATTCGAACAATAAAAGAAAAATTATTCAGACAATTTACGTTAAATGGGAACCATAAATGGGTGGATTTATTGAGACCAATTACTGATGCATATAATGACAGCACACATAGCACAATTAATATGAAGCCAAGTAAAGTTACTAAAAAGAATGAAAAACCACTACTCAATAGCGTTTATAGCCATATTAAAGTAGCTGGAAAACAAAAATTTCAGGTTGGTGACGTAGTTCGTATAAGCAAGTACAAACATGTTTTTCAAAAAGGATATACTCCAAACTGGACTACAGAACTCTTTAAAGTAGTTAAAGTGCATATTAAAAATCCACCAACCTATTTGCTGGAGGACTCACAAGGTCAGCCTGTTCTAGGAGGTTTTTATGAAAAAGAATTACAGAAAACAAAACAACCGAATGTATTTCTGGTAGAACAGGTTTTACGTGAGAAAGGAAATAAAATGTACGTTAAATGGTTGGGGTTCAATAAGTCATTCAACAGCTGGATTGATAAGAATGATATTGCTTAAAAACTGGGTGTAAACCTATTATGCGCAAGCCTTATAAATTTTGTGTATCAAAGAAACCTATTATTTACAAACAATACTAAAAATATGCTCAGTGTCATTTAGTGAATAGCATTAACAACACGCATCTTAAAAATGGAAGATATCAAAGTTGATAGCGGTAATGGTGAGTCATCATCATCATCAACCCGAGTATCCTCACAACCATATTACAGTCAAGTTCTTGATGAAAATTTGAAGCAGTTTGAAAATGCGGCTAAGATTGAAAAGTGTTATCTTCTCTCGTCATCGTATAGGATTGGAGACTGTTTTTTTGTTGAGTGCGGTCTAAGTCCAGCCAGAACATTCAGTCCAGCCATCAGATTATCTGCAATTGAAATATCCAACCCAGGAAAAATATCATTTGACGCTTTCGAATGGGCTATGTTTATAAATTTACTCCAAAAGGAAGATGGAGATTTTTTCAATAATCCTGCTGTACCTGGTGACGAAAAAGCGATGTCATGTGGTGAATACGCTAAAATAACCCGGATGATCAGAAACAATATAAAGCAGCTAAAGGTTGAAAAACATGATGTCAATTTTTACATGAGTGAGGATGACGTATTAAAATTGATTGATATTCATTCTAATCTTGTTCAATACAGAGTGTTAATGTTAGAAGAATTAAATTTTTGTTTATTTTATCATAATGTGATACATAAAATTAACTTGCATTTCAAAACCAAAGATAACACTAAAATAGGTTCATATTTAAAGCTTGTTCAATCTTTATATGAGGCATGTAATGGGAATGTTCAGTTAGTTTTAGCTCTTAGTGAATATTTACATTATTATGAAGAAAATGTGCTTAATGATATAGATTATGAATAAAGGATTATTCTGATTTGCATTTTTTTTTTTTTTGAAATTTTGTATATAATTAACACAATTAAACATTTATGTTCAGTTTATTACAGACTGTCTGCTAACTAGCTAACGAATAATTCGCTATGAAACTGCTTGTATTTTCTATATTGCTACCTTTGATAGTCGCGATAAATGAAGCTGATGTGCAGAAATATCTAAAAAAGTTTGGTTATGTTGAAGAGGATTCTTTATCAGATTTTCAGACATCCCTCATTACATTCCAAGAACGATATAACTTACCTGTTTCCGGATCATTGAACGAAAAAACTGTAGAACTATTGAATAGGCCTCGATGTACAGTGGGAGAGAATTCTTATGCCATTAAGTCAAAATGGAATAAAACTAACTTAACTTGGTATTTTCCTCAAGCAGCTCGAGAACATCTTCAAGTGGCTAAAAAAGCTTTTGAAATATGGGAAAATGCGTCCAATTTAAAATTTGAGGTTGTTTTAGTACCTTCAACAAAAGTTCCGGATATTACTCTAACATTTGTTCATAGAGAGCATGATTTTCGTGCAAATTGTCGTGGTGGAGAAAAATGTTCAAATAATTTTGATGGTAAGGGTGTAGAACTAGCTCACGCATATTTTCCTAGTGGTGATGGATGTGTGGAAATTCATTTTGATTTAAGTGAATCTTGGGATTTTAGTTTGAACAGAACAAGCCGTCCGGGAGATGATAGCATTTCTTTTCTCCCAGTTTTATTACACGAAATTGGGCATGCCTTGGGATTGAGTCATACTGACAATAACTATGCAGTGATGTATCCGTGGTACCAATCGTATTTTGGTGGATTAGGTGATGATGATATAAACGGTTTAAAAGCGCTTTATGGAGAGCGAACTGTTCCACCTCAGAAATCAACTACACCTGTTTTTTAGTGGACTGTATTCTTGAGATGAATGTTTGGTTGTAATGGGAAAAGAAGCACAGCACGAATGAACTTCTAATAAAAGCCCGGTACTCGGTTTTTCTTAGAATATCTTTAATGCACACACTCGAACTTATTTACAGTTTATGGATTTTTAGAAGCTAATATGCCGCTACACATACACAAAACTACACAAAACACAGGTAATGTTACAATGTACTCGTTCATTAGAGTAGGTACCAACTTCAGTACAGGAAAAGAATAGCCCATAATTGACTGCCAAGATAGAGATAAAGATTACTCTTTTTGTAAATCTCGAGAAAGAACACTAATTTCAGAGAATTATTACTAACTTTTAGTTAAGAACAGACTAGGAAGGAACATCACTTGCAATTTTGTAAAAAACGTGCTTTCCGTGAACTATTTTTATTTATTATTAACAACTCGAGAGTCGAGAGAGAAAAACTAGAGAACGGAATTAAATTTTCCGGGCGGCGTGACTCCTTTTCTACGAGAGTCTATCAAGTACTGACTAGGCGAGGTGATACCCGTATGTAGTTCAAGGCCAACAACTTCGGGCAACCCCTTTTTTTGGACGGTTCCATTTTAAAAATAGCACACTTGCAGCGAAGAGTGAATTGACAATTATGAATAAGGCAATAAATTTATTAAATAGATTTGAAACTCGAACATTCTCCCCCGCGTTGAAGCTTCAGCTTCGAAGCTTCAACAGAAAAAAAAGGAGGGGAACAACAAAGGAGAGAGAATGATGA